TGGGCGATACATAATGCATGCAAATTCCCACTTCCAAAATGCGCTGGTGATGCACTGCGGCGAAGTTTGCTGCGTTGCGGACGGCGGGCGGTGCAAGCCACTGCTTGCAACGAGGACGTGATGCAGCGGCGCGCTCCGGCATCCAACGAGGACGTGCGACTTTTCAAAGTGGCTTCTTTTGTTGAGTTGTGCTTCCACAGAGGCAGTGGTGCACCTCCCGTGCTGTCGTCGATGGACGCGCTCGGCGGCGTCGGCGACGCCTCCAGTGCGCGCGGGCTTCTTGCCGCCAGCGCTACGCTCCACGTGGAACGCTGCGTCCACGACGCAATCGTGCGCGGCAGGAGGGCGACGCAAACGACCGCGCACGGCTGCGACGCCCTCGCCAATGGCAGTCCCGAGGCACGCTCCAGCAATGACATGCGACGGCGCGGGACGGTGGTTGCGCAGGAGTTCGACGCCGTTGTAGCGGCAGCCGACAAGTGCAGAAGAGGCAATGCTGCGAATCGTTTCAGACATATTTGCGCGGCACAGGCCTTCTACGACCTTGGCATTCCTGTCGTTGCCAGCAGCGACGGCCCTTTCTGGATCATTGACGACGGCTGCAAGATGCTCGATCAGTTTGGGGTTGGCGTTTCTCGGTTCAACGCGGCGAACGCCAGCGCCGTGGGCAAATTCGTCATCGACGACGGCGAGGGACACGCCTACGCACTGATTGTAGGCGAGCGCTGCATCATCAGCTTCTGCTCTGGGTTCGCGGAGCTGATCACGACGCAAGAGCTCGGAGACGTCGAAAACAACGCCCGCTCGCGGATCTTCTGCGTCTCCGACGTGGCCTGCGGCGTCGGCGGCGATGGCGACAGCATGTGTGGCGGCAAATATGTTGCAAAGTGGCGCGGCAATTTGCCTGCGCCTAAAAAAGGGAAGAAGCGCCAGGCGATGCGCCCTGTTCGCAAGACTGTCCACAAGGAGCGCGCCAAGACCCGCCGAGAGGGCGGAAAGGCGAGTCGGTGGCCTGCGGGATTGGAATCGGCAGTGCGCAAGGAGGTGATGTACTGGCGGGACGTTAGCGATTGCATGGATGCCCACCACGAATTCGGCTCGGCGCACAACTGGAGATGCCCCATGTGCGTTGCCAGAGAGTTCAAGGAGAAACGTAAGCTGCTCACGCATATCAACAAGTGCCATGTCGAAGGTGGGCGTGGCATTCTTTCGACGAAATCCCACCAGCCCTTTGGGCGTGAGTGGTTTAGGGAGCCCGCTCTGTTCTCAACCCCCTTCTTCCCTTTCGGGGAGGGGTTTACCCCTCCCCCTACCCCCTCCCCCTGGGCCTGGAGAGGGCGTTCCGCGGGTCGTTGGAGGGGTCTTTTTCTACTCCTGGGAGGGCTAAAATTCGACACCCCTCACGAGGATTCTAGCCCCGACGGGGGGGGGGGGGGGGGGGGGGGGGGGTGGGGGGAACGCTCGCCCCATCTGCGATCGATCGCCCGAAAGATGGCCCCAAGATACCTCCCAGACCCCTCCCAAAGAGCCCCCAGAGGCCCCAAGAAGCCTCCAAGGGGCCCCCAAGATGCCCCCCCAAGAGACCCCAATAGGCTCCCCCGAGGCACCCAAGACGCGCCTGGAAGCCCCTGGAGCCGCCAAGAGGCCCCCAAGACGCCCCAAACGGCCTCCAAGAGGCTCCCAAGAGGCCCGAAGATTCTCCCCCAAGGCACCCAAGACGCTCCTAGAAGCCCCTGGGGCCGCCAAGAGGCCCCCAAGACGCCCCAAAAGGCATCCAAGAGGCTCCCAACAGATATCCCAAGAGACTCCGCGATGCATCCAAGAGGCCTCTGGCCCTTCTGCTCGCCCTCCCCTCCTCGTCCGCCCCCCCCTCTTCCCCCCCCTCCTCCCCTCCCCCACCTCCTCCTCCGATTCCTCCTCCATCCTCCCCTCTTGGGATATGGCGGCATCCCCTGTCCTTCGTTTCTCTGTATGCCCCCACACTTCCCTGATCGAATCAAAGCAACTCCTCTGGGCATCATTGCTGAAAAGATGACCAGCAAATCCCGACAGTCGGTACTCTTTGCTAAAGTGGCTGTTTTAGGATGGGCTGGTGGGGGTTCGCGAAGCGCGAACAATTGCAGCACTCTGTTTGCGGCCAATGGAACCAGATTGCACCCCATGCCCGCTTTAATGAGCTGCGCGGCCGCAGTGGAAATACCACAGCGGGAAACTTGGTGAACAGCTGCGCAGTCGGCATCCGGGTTCAATTTGAAGAGAGCCCATCGTGGGAGCAGATGAAAGCCCAGTTGGCACGTAAAGGCAATCGCTTGGACAAGGCAATTCCAATCCTGTTGGATCTGACGCGCACGAGGTACATCCTGACGGCCGACTGCGCCAAGCACCATCAGGTATCCGACAAGTTCTTTTGCGCCGACGCTTTCTTTAACGCCTTCCTCGCCGCCGTTGTGCATCCGACGACGAAGGGGGCAGCGGAGCGGGTTATTGCGTTTCTCAGCGCCCAATCAGGACACCAATCGCACTTGCCCCCGACGGGCCGCGCATTTTATCACACCCTGAACGAGAAGATAGCAGGGCACTTGTGCATTCGGCGCGTTGTGGACCGCTGCCGCGCCGAATGTGACGTTCGCGTCCTGGGCTTGGATGGATTCTACAAGTCCTTGATGTCTGCGTTGCGCCAAGTACCTCACGGGCAGAAACGAGACGTCGCAGCAGAGAGCGGCCGCGATCCATTGCGAGTGCTCATCACCGCCCAATGCCTCGACAGCATATTAAATATCCACGGGGCCAGCTCGGGGGACCCAGTGCATCAGGCGCGTGCTCTTCGAGGTGCTGTTCGCGGGGAGGATGCTGATCAAGTGGAGATGGTGCGTTCGGATTATCCCTGCGTCGCTGGACCAGTGCGCGCGGCTGCGAACCGCATTTCCGAATTTGAAATGCACCAGCAAAGACTTGCTACACATTGCCCTCAAAGTCGAGCAGGCAACAAACGAGAAGACAACTGTGTTCTCTTCGAACATCCGCAGGCGCCTAGCGAAGTTGCGATTGGGTGGTTTTGGCAGGAGCCGATACTATGAACGCAGCTCTGGCCGCAACGGGCCGTCTGAACTTACCGCGAAGATTGCGGATACGAGCGAGGCGGTCTCGCGCCGCTTGTACAGGCGCATCCAAAGCGACAGCTATGTGGCGAAACCGGACGACTGCATGGTAGATTTCGTTGATGATTTAGCTGCCATCTGCGCAACGCATCCAGATGCGACGCGCCGAAGTACAGGTAAGAAAGCAACAGTGCTGAGCAGCCTCGAGCATGCTACGACTGTACAGGAATTGGGGTACATTCGGAATTTCTGTAAGTACGTGGCTAACAACCCCACCATAGAAATTATGTTTGGCACGACTCGGAACGAGGCTTTCCATAATCAGCTGAAAGCATTCTATAGGAATGTAATCTACCAGACCCAGCGGCATGCCTTATGCGTCGCTACTGCAGCGAGGTTGGCAAAGTTGTTCGTTGGGTTTGTGGCTAAATGCCACGGCGACCTGACGCTCGCATTTAAAGAGCACGATATGCTGGCCAAATTTGCCCTGTTCCTCGTCGCAGAGACGCCATTCAAGTTTTCACCTCTTATGCACCGCTCAGTAGAAGCAGGCGAGTCGGTGGGTCTGGCGAGCCTGCCGATGAATGCAAAAACTATTCGCAAGCGCCCAGCACCGGCACCATAAGCATCACCTCTGTGACCCGTGTACTTTACTTGACTTACTGCACTTCTGTGACTGCGGCCATATATTGCCGTCAAAACAAACATCGTCGCCATCATCAAATCGCCATGTTCATCGCTACTGCGCCAGCAAAAAGCAAGACACGCACGTCGTCAAATAGGACCATATTTCTCCTCCACGGGGGGGGGGCACCCCCTGCCCGAAACGCTCCGCCGGATGCCCCCGCAGCATGCGCCCGTGATACGCGTTCTCTCTGATGGAAGGACGCCCGAAGATCGCTCCAAGATGCCCGAGATGGCGTCCGGACGGCCCAAGAGGCCTCCAATGCGCCGCGAGATACCTCCGAGAGCACCCCCAGAAGGTCCCCACGATGCAAACATATTTGAATTTCCTCTGGTGTTTGACGGGTTTTAGCGTTCTCGCCTTTTCGGCTTTCCGATGCTCTAAGACGGCCCACGGTCCACGAAATCGCCCCAAGACGAACCCCAAAGGCCTCTAAAGACGGTCCAAGAGACCTGCGCGGCGACTCCAAGAGGGGGCCCAGACGGGGGGCCCGAAAACAGACATTTCGGACCCCCGGCCCCAAGAAGCCCCCAAGTGGCCAAGGGGCCCCCAGGAGGCCCCGAAGAGTTTCCCAAAACGCCACCAAATATCCCCACAACTGCTCCCCAAGACGCCCCAGGAAGCGCTTCGAAGCGACCCCAGCGAGCGCGCCTGATGACTCTGACCCAACACCCAGGCACGGCGGCGGGGCAGTAGAGGCCAAAAACCCCGAGACAAGTTCCAGAACAACTACGTCGACTCCATGCCTGCTGTCGCAACGCCTCCGGAAGAAAGAAAAAAACACGCGCGTGTGTATATATATATATATATATATATGCAAAAACAGAGGGAGAAAAAAGGCAAGCAGCGCCGGATGGGCCGCGAAGGCGCAGATAAACGCCAGCGATGGCACAGCACGGGCCGGCGGAATGAGCGAAGCGATTAATGGCCCTCGCCCAGTGCAGCTCGCGCCTGCCTCGCGATAACTTCTGCGCCGAAGAGGCCGCGGGGGGGTGGCGCAAGGGTAGCGCCTCAGGCCCCGGTTACATCTGCTCTCTCTATGGCGTCCCTCAACGCGCCCTCGAAGTCGCCAGGTCCACTCTGGGCCCAGACCTCGGGGGAGAACGCTATCAACATAGCTCCTCAAACGGAGCGGGGGGTAGCTAGGCCACTGGGGCCCTGCCCCCCCATAAAAAATTCATCTTCTTATACTCTACTCAGGCAGGTAACCTTCCCGCTCACTCCTGTCTCACCCGCCTGGGATCAAGCCTATCTCGCTGCGAGCGTGCCAAGCCAGCCATCTCCGAAAATTTCCCCAGCTTCTCCCTGGTCATCGGCTTGGTCATCATGTCGCCCGGGGTCTCGTGAGCGCATGCCTTGCCGAAACTCAATCGACCTTGTTCTGGCCGCTGCTGCAGCGCCAGGAAGCGCATCTCCACGTGTTTCATATGTCCTGGCCCGCGCTTCTTCGCGGTGTGTGGCGAACTGCTGCTGTCGCTCATCGCGAGAGGTATCGTCTTCTCCTTCCAATCCTCGAATAGTGATGCCAGTCCGAGAGCTTCCGCTGCTCCCGAACCCAGCGCGTATAGCTCGCTCTCCGCCGAACTCAGCGCCGCGCTGCCCTGGCGTCTTGACAGGCACAGGACGGTGCATCCGCGGAACTTCAGGATGCCGCAGCTCGTCGAGACCCTGTCCGTCTCGTCATCGGCCCAGTCTGCGCCCGCCCAGCACTCCACTGCACGACCTCCTCTGTTCGGAACCAACTGCATCGCGTAGTCTCGCGTGCCTGCAAGGTACCGAGCCATCTTCTTCAGCCCCCTCAGGTCCTTCTCCGTTGATCCTGTCATGCCCCCGCTTAGAACTCCAACTACACGTTGAATGTCTGGGCGGGGGCCCGCCAACTGCAACAGCTTCCCCACGCAGGTCCTGTAGCGACTGTGGCCCGCCGTGTCTAGCTTCACCTCGTCGCTCTTCATGTGCACTTCGTTATTGGTCTCGGGCAGTACTGATGGCTTCGCAGTCTCCAGGCGCAGCTCATTCAGGATGTCGTCGATCATGGTCGTCTTGCCGCTGATCGCGCAGCCGCGCTCGACCTTCTCTACCTGCATGCTCAGGAACGTCGCCTGGTCTCCGTTCTGGGTGAGCTTTACTGCGTCCAATAACTTCAGTCTCTCTCTCTCTCTCTCTCTCTCTCGACCTCTCTCATCACCTCTAACAGCTTGACAATTTCGTCGCTCGGTCCAGTGATTAGGAAGTCGTCGGGGCGTCTCCCTGCCGTCATCCTGTTGCCCAGCTTCAGGAAGAGACGCGCGTCGTAGTGGCCCCTGACCATCTCAAGCTCCTCCATGGCGTTCGCGCTGTGGTCCGCCCATGCCTTCGGTGCAGTTTTTGAATCCTGGAAATGCGCGCAGCGCCTCCCGAACATGTCCTTCAGGTACTCCTGCTCCTGTTGGTGGTCAAGGAAGATCCAGTCCTCGGTGAGCGACGGCTGGTGGGAAACTCCACTGCAGTCGCCAAATGCAACCGCGTGGTCGCGCAACTTCGCGTTGACCAGCATTGCCTTCAGGTGCGGAAGCGAGGGGGTCGTGGCCGCGAAGTTCTCGTGCCCGTGCACCCGTTGCTCAAAGCCCCTCGTGGTCCACCGGCTCTTGTAGCTGCCGTCCGCCTGGTAGGTGTCGACCCTCTTCCCCGTCGGGATCTTGGGCGTCGCGTCCTTGATCGGGATTGCCCCTGCGATCTTCTTGCCCCCCCCCTGCGATCTTCTCCAAGTGCCCCTTCCCTGCCCCGCGAAGCCGCCCCCCGGCGCGCGCGCCCCCTCGCTCTCCACCCGCGGCTCCTTGCACATCTCCCCGGCCGCGCTGATCATCGGGATGGTAGTGGCCCCTGGACTTCTTGCCTTCGCTTCCTCCTCCGCCTTCGCGCCCTCGCTCGGGACCCCTCACTGCCAGCGGGGTGCCCACTGGCTGCGGCGGCGCCGCCCCCGGCGTTGACGGCCCTGCCGCCTCGCCCCTGGGCCTCTTCGCCTCCAGTCGCCTCTTGTCCATGTCCACGTCGTCGCGCGGTGCTGCCGCCGCTGCTGCTGCTGCTGGCTGTGGTGGTGCCGGTTGTGGCCCTTCTCCTGCTGCCGCTGCTCATCCTGCGGCTGCGGACGCCGCGCTCGGGTCCAGGTACTTCGGTAATGGCCCGAGTAGAATCGGTTCCTGAGGTGACCTCTGCGTTGGCGGCCCCCCCCCGCGCGGTTGGCGTCGGTTCCCAGGGTGCCCGCCTCATCTTGTCGAACACCTCCTTGTCCCAGCGTCGGCTCTCCACCTTCCTCTTCGCCGCCCTGGACCTGCGCGCCCCCGTCGGCGTTCCGATCAGGTGCCCGCCCGCCCTCGCGTCGCGTCAAAGCCAGGCGCCATCCAGCCGCGACAACTCCAGCTTGTTGACCTGGGCCCCTGGCCTCCTGCAGATCACTGCCTCGCCGACTGCGGCGATGGACTCCTGACACTTGAGCATGTGGGTCTTCTCGTAGGGTGCGAGGTTGGTGCCCTCCCTGACCATGCATCTGCTGCAGGGCCACTTTGCATGCCTCGGCAACCGCGCGAGGAACGGGGGGTCGGGCTTGAGGTCGTGGTTCAGCTTCTTGTTGACCTGCAACATCAACGTCCTCACTTGCTCCCACGCCGTCTGGATGGCCCTCTCGGCCCTGCCGTTCGCCTGGCCGTTGTACCACTCCGACTGCCTCATGAGGATCGCCTCGCAGATGCCGTCTTTGGTCGTCATGGCCCTGACTGCCATGATGAATGAGAACTCGGCTGCCCCCCCTGCTTGTAGTTCCACCCGTGAGCGCCCCAGTTCGGCTAGCCACGAAGCCGCCGAGGCCACTGCGTAGACGCCGTCTCGACCTTTCTGGATGATTCGTGCCCCCGATGCCCCCTGTCGAAGAGTCGCTGCCCACTACGAACTCGAAGTTGACGGGGCCCCCCTCGATGCCCGCCTGGCCGTAGTCGAAGCTCGGCAGTGGGATCAGCTCGTCGCGTCTGTCTTTCTTTCTTCTTGTGGGCTGCGTCGTTGGCCTTCGCATGAATGCAGATCTTACACCATGGTTCAGCTGGGTAGTGCGTCAGCTCGCGCTTCCCGATCTCCTCGGCACTTGGTTCTCGAAGTCAAAATAGGCCACTGGCTGTTGTCTCGGGTTCCACTGTCTCGCGATCGTCGGGATGCGCCGCTGGCCCCTCTGGCGGTGCATCCGCTAGCGCACCTGCAACTCCCCGAGATACGACCTGCGGTTGCTGCCGCCCTCCTGGCGGTAGCACTCTTGGTGCTCCTGCCAACGCTCGCTGAACTGCTCCTCTTCACCTGGTCGTGCTGCTGCGACTGCTGCCCCAATCGGTACCACTAGCGTCATCCTCGTGGGCCTCCACCATGTCATCGCGCATCTCCGTCCAACGCTCCAGTGCGTAGTGGTTGTTGGTCTTCTTGAGCTTGGCCAGCCCTGCCGCCTCGTGCCTCATCAGCCCTCCTTTGTCATCGCACCACGCCGCGCGGTGCCTCAAGCTGCTGCGCTCATGATGGGCCGCTTCGTGCCAGCGACTTGGAACTCCATAGCGACGCGCCTGCCGCCTGCTATGTAGAGTGCCACCGTCCTCGGTCCGCAGTTCCTCAGTGGCGCGCCGTCTGCGACCGTCAGGTTGGGGTTGCGCCCTGGTTTGAGCTCCGCGTTCGAGAAGCCCCTGGCGCCGCGCGCGTGCTCACCAGCGCAGTTGTCCGTCAGCACCCAGAACAAACGCCACGTGCCGTTCCCCGTCATGCCGCAGGCCTTCCTCTCCTGCACCTTTGGCTTCCAGCCCTTCGCGACTGCGAAGATGCAACCACTTTCCCACTCTGTCGCGCGCTCGTCTATCGCGGTGATCGCCCGAGATCCTGCCCCCACTTGGCTGGCTAAAGGTCATGCTGCCGACGGTGCTGGACTCCATGGTGGTGGCGTGCTGATGTTGCTCCAGCCGTCGCACATCGTGATCTCGTTCGCTCCTCCTTTCTGCCCTGCCCTTGCCTTCTGCCCACCCCTGTCGCAGTTGGGGTTCTCCTGTCGACCCCGGCGGTCCCTTGCGCAGTGCCCCATGTGGCCACATGTGCAGCGGGGCCTCGCCCCAGGTACTCCTGACCTCTTCCAGGCTGGTTGTCGCGTTGCCGCTGCCCTCGCCATGGGGGCCGCGCCCTTGCCCTTCTGGCATTTGCCCCTGCTCTTGCCTTTGCTGTCTCCACCTTTGCCTTTGCCGTCTTTGCCATTGCCTTTGGGGTGCTGCCATGTCAGCGCGTCCACCACCATGGCTCCTGAGGTTCGGTTCCCTCTGCTGCGACTTCGTCTCCAGGCCCTGGTGGGCGTGGCCACTTTTGCTGGTGCCCGTCCTCGTATACCGTCGCCGCTTGTGCGCAGTCTATCGTGGTGCCGATCAATTCGTCGTAGCTTTTTTTTTCGCTCTGCATCTGTAGTGCCGCGCTGATGTTATTCGGGGCCTTCTGTGGGTAGATGCTCTTCTTGGCTCCTGCATTGAACACTTCTCCTGACGCCGTCTCATAGCGCCTGATGCCGCGCCCCCAGTCTGAGCGGCACTGCTCGAACCCCGCCAGGTCCGAAGGCACATTCTTCACATTGAGAATAGCCGCCATGATGCTCTGCGCCCCAATTGCCGTCGCAGGCTCGTAGCGCTTGATCAAAGCTCGGCATGCCAGCGACCCGCTCTGGTCTTCTAAGCTACTGATCAGCATCTGCGCGCTGCCCTGCACTGTCCGGACCGGCGCGAAGAACATGTTCTTCGTCGACGTGATTCCTTCAGTCCCCAGACGATGCAAGGTCTGCGCCATGCTGATGTCTGGGTCCAATCGCTGATCGGCCGCCCCCAAGAAATTCAGCGCTTGCGTCGTTTGACCTCCCAAGTCCGCCCTCACCACGAAACTCCACTCCGTCCGCGCCCCCTCGTGGCCGTCGAAAGTTGGTGGCTTCAGCCCGAAGCCCTGCCACTCTGCACCATGCTCCGTCATGGTCACGTAGACCTCGCCCTGCTTGTCTTTGGTCACGTAGATGTCGTACTCCTTGTCTGTGGCCACGTAGACCTCGTACTGTTTGTCATTGGTCACGTAGACCTCGTACTGTTTGTCAGTGGTCACGTAGACCTCGTTCTGCTCGTCGGTGGTCACGTAGACCTCGTCTTTCAACTCTATGGTACCGTAAACCTCGTCAGTCTGCTCGGTGGTCACGTAGACCTCGTCATTCTGTTCTGTGGTTACGTAGAACCTCGTCTTGCACTCCTGTGGTCACGTAGACTTCGTTCATCGCTCCTGTGGTCACGTAGACTTCGTCCAGCGTTCCTGCGGCCACGTAGACCTTGCCCAGCTGTTTGGTCACGTAGACCTCGTCCAACTGCTTGGTCACGTAGACCTTGGCCAGCTGCTGTGTCAGCTGGTCACCGTGGATCAAAGCTCGCCCTGCGGCCGCGGCCGCGAGAGCTATGGCCAGCGCCCGTAGCCGCGGGGGAGGGCGCCCAGCGGGAACTGGCCGCAGCCAGCTCCGCTACCATGATCACTTTTGTGCCAAAGAGGCTGCGGAAAAGGTAGCGCCTCAGGCTCTAGTTGCACCTGCTCTCTGCACGGTTTCCCTCAACACCTCGGTTCTCCCCTCCCGACGAAAATGGAGGGGTTCGGATATGCCTCCTCTGCTGGTGGCTTTCGGGTCAGAACTCGGGCCTCTGGCGGCCGTTCGGGACGATCCAGGCACCCCTGGAACGCTCTCGCCCAGGCGCACCCGCTCGAAAACACCTGTCCGAGGCCAGCAAACCGCTAAGAGCCAACGAAAACGCGCGAAAACCTCAGACCTCAAACCTCGAACCCCCTCTCGGCGCGCCGCCGAGTGATAACTAAGAACGACTGAGCCTGGGTCCGCCTCGAACCACGAGTCTGGGCCTGCCTGCCTCTCCCCTTTCCCCGCCCCGAGATATGAGCATCGTTTAACCGATCCATATACCAACTGGCATGGCCTGGGCCGCACTGGCCGATTTACCCCCCTAGATGCGGACACGGGCAACTCCCATCCCCAACAGGGGCAAGTCCAAAACTGGGGCGGTGGGATGGTGATGATGGGATTGGTGAAACCATACTGAGAACAAGCCGCACGCAGCGCCGCCCGACCGGGCCTTGGCGACAGCGGCGCCCCAGCCCGCGTGCTTGCGGGCGGGCCGTCGCTGCCTCGCCGGGCGGACCGCCCGCGAGCGGGCCCACACGCCGTCGCCGCCGCCTCCGCCACCATCCTGCTGCTCCTCCACCTCCTCCTCCGCCTCCTCCTCCTCCTCCTCCTCCTGCTGCTCTGCCTGGTCCTCCTGCTGCTGCTGTTGCTGCGACTGCTCCTCCTCCTCCCTCTCCTCCTTCTCCTCCTCCTCCGATTCCTCTTCCACTGTCTTTCCCTCCCACCTCCCACCTCCTTCTGACCCTCATCCTCTTCCTCTTCCTCTTCCTCCCTCCTCGGGGGGCCAGAACCGACCCAAGAAATCTGGGCGGACGTCCGCAAGTTCAATGTGTATGCAATGTGCCTCGTCTTCGAAGATCATGCTGATTATTCGTGAAGATTGGAGTCACGCTGGGAGCGCATCCGTCCCCAGCACAATGTAGTCACATACTAAGCATAATAACCATCCTCATCCTCATCATTGTCATCACCATCACCATCATCGTCATCAACACCACCACAAACAGTCACCACCAAAGCCTTACAATCACCAATTATCAGCATTACCACAAACTCCATCATCATCCGAACCACAAATCAGCACAACCAATCATAATCCTCATCATCAGCAACAGCAGCATCGCCATCTTCATATTCATCATCATCAGATTCATCGTCAGTCAACATCATGATCGTCAGCACCATCACCACTCAGCATCACCATCGACACTAATCATCACTACCATCATCATCGAATCATCACAGCCAAACATCATCATCATCATCATCATCATCATCATCATCATCATCATCATCATCACCATCATCATCATCATTCTCACCACCACCAACACCATCACCGTCACCAGCATCATCAACACCTATGATCATCGCCATCACCAAATTTCATCAGAAGGATCATCAACACCGTCGCCATCACCAAACATCATCGCTACTACAATCACCAATCATCACCATCCCCATCACCACCAATCATCATCACCATCAATCATCATCATCATCATCTTCAACATCACCGTCACTACTTATCAGCATCGCCACCAAACTCATCGTTGACACTACCAATCATGATCACAACCATTACCATCATCGTCACCACCAACCGCTATCTCTATCATCACCATCTTCATCATCATCCTCAGCACCATTGCCACCACTATCATCACAACCAACCACAATCACCATCACAATCATAGCCGCTATCCTCAGCCGCATCGTCATCTACATCATGTGCATCGTCAACATCCTCACCATCACCATCACCAGCACCATCACCAGCATCATCACCAGCATCACCACCATCATCATCCTCGATATCAGTATCAGAACCACCTAGCAGCATCACCCTGCCCGTCATCCATAGCCATCGATCACCATCGATCACCATCATCGCCAACACCAATCATCATCCTCATCATCATCATCAACAACACCCTCAACAACATCACTATAACCCGCGGGCTCCAAAGCCTCGTCATTATCCACATCATCACCACCACTCGTCAGCATGATCATCATCAGCATGAGCATCATAATCAGCACCAGTATACTCATCGCCATCATCATCATCATCGTCCTAATCAGTACCATCACCATCATCATCCACAACATCAGTATCCTCATCCCCATTATCATCGCCATCCTCATCAACATAACCATAATCACCATGCATCATCACCACCAAAAGTCATCACCACTGACACCACTAATCACACCAACTCGCATCTTCAACAACACCATCACGGCCACTCACCATCGACATTATCAAAATCCTCATCGCTCATCCTAGTCCCCATCATCATCGTCCCAATATTCCTCCTCACCATGACCAACATAACCATCACAATCACCATTCAGCTGACCCGAATCACCACCAATCATAGTAGAGCTCTTCGTCGCCACCATCGCCACCAGGTGCCACCATTATCACGATTCCAATCAACATCATCACCACCATCAGCATCACCGTTGATCACAACCATGGTCACAGACCACCACCAACCATCACCACCAAAGCACCATCACCGCCGACCGCTACTATCACCAATAATCGCCGCCAACAACCACCCTCCTTTTCCTTGCCGCCGTCACCATCACCATCACCATCATCACCACCACTCACCACCATCATCACCCATCACCCATCACAGCCGTGAATTATCATTATCAGCACCGCCACTAATCACTATACTCATAACCATCACAGCCAATTGTCATCAACACAGCCACCATCACAACCAATCACAATCACCATCACCATCATTATCACCATCAGCATCATCATCCTCATCACACTCACCACCACCACCAATCCTGAGCATCTCCATCGCCAGCATCACCATCACCATCACCAAGCATCGTCATCCTCACCCCTTATCACAATGAACAAACACAATCAGAATCGTAACCAATCACCCTCAACCCCATGACCACCGAGCATCAAAATCATCACCATCACAACCAACCATCATCACACTCAACCACTACAACCATCCTCATCACCAACCACCATCAACATCACCACCAACATCATGCCCATCAACCGCCACCAAGCATCACCATCACAATCCCATCATCACCCCAACCCACCATGACATTGTCACCACTAACCGCCACAACCATGATCAGAAACGCGTCACCAACACCGTCATCGTCAACATCGCCGCAAACCACCACTATGATCATCGCCATCATCAGCGAACCATTAGAACCAACCAGAAACACTACGATTCACTATGACGACTACCAATCATCATCATCATCATCATCATCATCATCATCATCATCATCATCATCATCATCATCATCATCATCATCCGCAACAGAATCATCACCACCCGCATCGTCGAAATCGGCATCGCCGCCTTTACAATCCTCAACATCATCACCAACGTCGACACAAACAACCACAAATCGCCACAATCGTCGCCGTTATGACCGCAACCGCAAATTTCGTCATCAAAATCTGCATCACCACCACTACTATAATATTCAACATCCGCAATGCCATCACCCCCAACTGCCAGACTCATCAACATCGTCATCACCACCACCACTAATCTTATGATTGGCATCATCATCGTCATGACCACCACAACCGCTACCGTCATAATGATCACCATGTCCACCACCATCATCATCATAATCATCATCACCAACACCACCGTGATCATCAACAACATCACCACCACCACCAGAACCGACATAGTCATCGGAACCATCAGTTCACCACCATAGCAAATCATAATCACCACCACCAGCAACATCACAACTACAAATCAGCAGCATCACCAATAACATCCGCATCACGAACATCGTCGTCATTGGTATGGACATTGTCAGAACCACCACCAACAGCATGATCAACGCTATCATAGACCACAACCCATCAAAATCATGATCATTATCGCCATCACCATCACCAACCTCGCCATGATCGGCATCGACCCTCTAACCACGTTCTGCATCACCATCACCCCCATCACCATCACCACCACCCATCATCATCATTATCAACCTCATCATCAGCATCATCCTCACAAGCATCATCATCATACTTATCAGCATACTCATCATGATCATCATCATCATCATCATCATTATCATCATCGTTATCACCGCCACCATCGTCATCACCGCCGCCATCGAAGATCACCATCGTCACGTCACCAATTGCATCCTCACCACCACCAGCACGTCCAGAATCATTCTCATGATCAACATCATCGTCATGATCGTCGTCGTCATCTTCACCATCACCACCACCATCGTTATTACCAACACCACTGAAGTCATCATGGCAACGGCTATTACCAAACCATTATCACAATCAGCGATCACCACCACCAGCAAGCATCACCACCACTACTCACCATTATCATGAATATCATCATTAAGACCCTCGTCGTCATTGACACCGGTTTCGGCACCACCAAAAACACCATAATCGACAACCCCCGCCAGAGACACCATCAACATTCCTGTTATCAGCATCGCCATCGTCATCACCCACACCACCATCATCATCACCACAACGACCATCTTCTTCAGCACCGCCATCATCAACATTATCGTCATCATCAACACCACCAACATCATCATGAATATCGTCATCGCCACAATCATCAAATCAACACCACCGCCACCAACCTCGTCATGACCGGCATCGACACCACTACAATCTTGTGCATCATAAGCACCCCCATCGCCACCACCGCCACACATCATGACCACCACCACCACCACTGAGATAATCATGATCATGGACATGACGACCACCACCATCCTCGTCATCACCACCACCATAGCCACCACCATCATCCGCTTCACCACGAGCAT